TTCAATACCATTATCCCCTTCAGACTGATCTCAAAACTGCGTGACCTTGGTCTTAGCTCTGCCTTCTGCACCTGGATCCTCAGCTTTCTGACCTATAGGCCGCAATCAGTGAGGATAGGTAACTCCACCTCCTCCACAATAACATTCAACACTGGAGACTCCCTCCCCTCCAAGGATGTGTACTCAGCCCCCTACTGTACTCCTTTTACACCTACGACTGTATCACCAAATTCTGAATGAATGCAATCTACAAGTTCGCTGACAACACCACTGGATATCTAACAATGATGAGTCAAAATACAGAAGGGAGATAGAGGGCTTGGTGATGTGGTGCAATGAAAACAATTTGTCTGTCAATGTTGGCAAAACTAAAGAACTGATCATCAACTTCAGAAAGAAAGAGGAAAATACACCCCCATCTACATCGACGGAACTGAGGTTGAAAGAGCGAAGAGCATCAAGTTTCCTGGATTGATGATGTCCGATGACCTGCCCTGGACTTCTGGCGTAAATATGACAGTCAAGAAGGCACAACAACGCCTCTTCTTCCTCAGGCGGCCCAGGAAATTTGGCATGTCCATATGGTCCCTCACTAACTTCTACAGATGCACCATTAAAAGCATACTGTCCAGGTGCATAACAGCGTGGTATGGCAACTGCTCTGACCATGACCGTAAGAAAATACAGAAGGTGTCTAAGGTTCTTGAGTAGATTTGTAGTTCAGGTTGTGGATGCTGTGGTTGGTTTGCTTGCTGAGCTGGTTCATTAGTTCACAGATGTTTCATTACTCTGCTAGGTAACATCATCAGTACAGTCTCTGATGAAGCGCTGTTGTGTTTTCCCGCCCGGTATTTAAACTCTGGGGTCCATTGGAATTGATTACCTCATTTCTGGTTTTTCTTTGCAGTGGTGTATATATAGGGTCTAATTCTACATGTTTATTGATGGCCTTCTTGGTGGAGAACCAAGCCTCTAGAAATTCCCGTGCTTGTCTCTGTTTGGTCTGTCCTAGGATCCTGATGTTGTCCCAGTCGGACTGGTGGTTCTCTTTATCCATGTGAATGGTGACAAATGAGTACCGGTCATGTCTTTTTGTTGCTAGTTGGTGTTCATGTATTCTTGTGGCCAATTTCCCCTTTCTGTCTGTCCAATGTAATGTTTCTCGCAGTCTTTGCATGGGATCTTATATATAATGTTGGCTCTGTCCATCGTGGGTAAGGGGTCTTTGGTTCGAGTTAGCAGTTGGTGAAGGGTTGATGTAGGTTTGTGTGCAGATAGCAGAAAGTAAATTTAAGTTGTCTTGGTATAATTATTTTTCTTGTGTTGGAATTTGAACCATATGATCAATGGAAGACAGAGGTTAGTAAATGAACTTGGTGCTGTTGCTCACTAAGCAAAGTAAAATGAAAAGAAAGACATTTTCTGAGGTGACTCCCAATCAGTCAAATCATGGCGAATGTCTGGAATCTCTAACAGACTTCCTGGATTAAAAGTTACATGAAAGATGACTGCTAAATGCCTTTGAGGCTTGGTCAAAATTTAATAATCTTTTGGAAAATGGACACTGATTTCATATATTCAAAGTATTTCTTGGACTTTTATCAAAATCTGCACAATATTAACTTGGGAATCATTAGATAAGCATTAGCGATTAAGATTTCCAGATTATGCTGAAATTCCTATTATGGACAGACAAGTCCAAACTGTCATTCAGTTCTCAGGGAATGGTACTATTGGGTCAGATATCTGCTGCCTCAGAAAAGTTCCGTGGGAACTGTCAGTCCTTTCAACATTCAAAGAATAAATGAAACATTTCACTGTGCTACAAATAGTATAAGACTCAATGGTTGCCAGGTTTCAAAATGTTCCATATACTAGGTATATGCATCAATGTAAAGGAAGGATTAAAGACAAGCAGAATAGTGATGAGACTGTGTGCAGCAAACACAGTTACGTCTACAGAAAAAAAATCGGAACAATAACAATGGGAACACATTCCAGAAAAGCCAAAGGATGTTAATAAACACTTTAGATATAATACTTTAAGTATTATGTGGCTGATTGTGCAGATGGAAGAAATAGAGACATTGAACTTGTGAGTCTGACTTCGATTGTGGGTAAATTGTTGGAGGTGATTATAAAAGATAGGATTTATGGACCTTTAGAGAGGCAAAATTGATTAGGGATAGTCAGCATGGTTTTGTGTGAGGAAAATCGTGTCTCACAAACTTGATTGAGTTTTTTTGAGGAAGTTGCCAAAAAGATTGAATACTGTGTCCAATTCTGGTCACATGGTTATAGGAAGGATCCATATTAAGCCGGAGAGGGTTCAGAAGAGATCTGGCAGGATATTGTTGGGTATGGGAGGTTTGAGTTACAAAGAAAGGCTAGATAGGCTGGGACATTTTTTCACTGGAGCATAGGAAGTTGAGAGGCGACCTTATAGAAGTTTATAAAATAATGAGGGGCATAGAGTTAGTGGTAGTTATCTTTTTCCTGAGAGAGGGAATTTCAAGACTAGGGGATATATTTTTAAGCCGAGAGGAGAGAGATTTAAAAAAGACATGACGGGCAAATTTTTTTACACAGAGGGTGGCTCGCATGTGGAATAAACTTCCTGAGGAAGTGGTGAATGTGGGTACAATTACAACATTTAAAAGATATTTGGATAAGTACATAAATAGGAAAGGTTTGGAGGGATATGGGTCAGGAGCAGGCAGGTGGGACAAATTTAGTTTGGGATTATGCTTGTCATGGACCGGTTGGACCAAAAGGTCTGTTTCTGTGCTGTATGACTCTATGACTATGGCGCTTAAGAGGATGATTCTGCATCTATATTTACTTCAGCAGTATGTGAGATACATTTATCAACATTCATTCTGATTTATTAACCATCAACACAAGTTTAAGGAACACAAAAATACTAACTATGTCATATTTAGTGATGACAACCCACTGAGGTTACTCAAGAAAGTGCTAATTCCATGGAAAGTATCGGGTGAAAGCTAGCATATAAGTACTGATGTAATTTCTTGTGAGATACCTATGCTGTTGAGTAAACTTTTACAAAGAATGGTGGAAAAGAAATTTGGAATGGAACATAATGAGCAGAATAATTCAGGTGGCAGGCTTTACCATCTCACCACTGAAAAAGTAAGTGTGATTTTGCTGAGGTGTGTTAGTCAGTTAAAGATGGGAATGTTATCACTCATTGGATAAAAAAGTCCTGCCTCAGAAAGATGCCAGGCAATCTGATTGAAGGAAGCCTAGGATGAGGATTGCGAAGGAAGTGAGTCAAGTCAGACAGTCATAGAAGGCTGCAGCACAGAAAAAGGCCCTTTGGCCCATTGAGTCTGCACAAGTCAGAAACAACCATCCAACTATTTTAATCCCATCTTCCGGGTCAGGACTTGACCCATAGCTTTGTGTGCCTGGTGTACATAGAGTCATAGCGTCATACAGCACAGAAACAGACTTTTCAGTCCACATCATCCATGCCAACCAGACATCCTAATCTGATCCAGTCCCATTGCCAGCATTTGGCCTATATCCATCTAAACCATTCCTATTCATATACCCATCCCGATGCCTTTATCTCAATGCTTCCTAAATATTTTGAGGGTATTTGCCTCTACCAGCTTTACAAACAGTGAGTTCCAGAAAAGATTTTCCTCATCTCCTCTCTAAACCTCCTGCCCCCTATCTTAAATCTATATCCCCTGGTCATTGATCCCTCCACAAAGGGGAAAAAATATTCCTCCTGTCTACAGAGATAGTAAGAACTGCAGATGCTGGAGTCAGAGATAATACAGTATGGAGTTGGAGGAACACAGCAGGCCAGGCAGCATCAGAGGAGCAGGAAAGTTGATGTTTCGGGTTGGGACTCTTCTTCACTTTTTCCCACTAACCTGGAGACCTTAGATAATATCTAGTTGTGGTGCAACTCCCAGTTACTTTCACCATACAAATCAACTGTTTTCATCTCCCATGCTGTCTCCAATGGACTAGTAGAATTCTGCCCTGTTAGTTCCAACTTAAAATTGATTATTGAAACTGTTCATTGACACCAACATGAATCAATGTGTAGTCCAGTTCATTGCTAGCCCAGAAGAGTGGGTAAGATATGAAAGGGATGATGGCAGAAGGGAACATGGAACTGAGGACTGGACTGAGCACTTCCACCTCAAATGTTGCCACAGCCTCAGTACCTGATATGTTGTCTCTTATCCCAGTGGTCAAGAGCTGCAAAATCCAGGGGATATTGGCCATGATATTCACAGCAATCACAGCTGGGGTTTGAACAACGTGTCTCCACCTCTGCAGAAGTCACAGGTGGTTACACCAAGTAGAAGTGCTAAGAAGAGGAAGAGTAATGACTTGTAGTTGCAAAAGCATTTAGATTGGTAAAATTCATTTTTGAACCATGCAAGTAATACTTATTTGTACAACTTTCTGTCCTACTTATTTAGTTGTTGGTTGGCAAGTCACCTTTTTCACATATGAAGGATTGAAGGATGGTAAGACAAAAACTGATGTTTGAAAAGGGATATCTAGCTGTTTGCAGGATTAGTTTGTTTTAGACAATGGGGATGGGGGCACGTGAAGGGGGAAATTACTTATGAATTGGGGTGTTGGATTGGGGTTCATGCCTTTCAGATGTGTTTGCCTGATGGAAGAACTCATGGAATCTAAGTGAGCCTTGCGATAACGTGGGCGCCTTGGTCAGCAATGTGAACAACATCCGGTGCATTGGTCGCATTATGTTCTGCCACTCCCCAGAATCATCCGAAAAGGCTTAGTGTTTACCTGTTCTTCCTACATTTCAGAACCTCATAGAGTGGAAAGTGGATACAATCTTCACTATCCTTCATTACAGTCACACTCAATTGCATAAACTCAAGACTTCCTTCTGTTACATACCAGATAAATGTATCAAACTGAACATATTGAACACTTAACAGAGAATTCAACAACATAAGCCAAACTGATCAAATACTCACTGGGTCTCTGCGAGATTGGTTATAAATATGTAAGATACTTAAAACATTGAACTCCAGATCAAGGTTTTTTACAAGTCTTTGAATTCCTGCAGTGTCATTTTGTGTTGCAAGTCGTACCATGAAGGATCTGGGGAGCAAACAATTTACAATTTCTAAGTATTTATTGATTAAGATGCAAGAAAAGAGAAACATGTTATTTTAACCTTCCACTTACTCATTAATTGGATGAATATGGATCAATTAATTTTATTAGCTGTCACCTCTTTTGCTTATGTCCTTAATGTTTTACTTTTGTCCTGCACCAGCTTGAAAAGACATTTGAGATATTATGTTTCAGCTGTACAAGACATTGGTGAGGCCTCTTCTAGAATACTACTTACAATTCTGGTCGCCCTGCTATAAGATGGATGTTGTTAAACCTGAGAGAGTACAGAAGAATTTACAAGGATGTTGCCAGAAATGGAGGATTTGGGTTATAAGGAGAGGCTGGAGCATTGGAGGATGGGGGGTAACTTTATAGAGGTTTATAAAATCACGAGGAAAGTAGATAAGGTGAATGGCCAAGGTCTTTTTTTTCAAAGTTAGGGGAGTCCAAAACTAGAGGGCACACATTTAAAATGAGAGAGGAAAGAGTTAGAAGGGACCTGTGGGGCAACTTTTTCACACAGAAGGTGGTGCATGTATGGAATGAGCTGCAAGAGGAAGTGGTGGAGGCAGGTACAATTGCCAACATTTAAAAGACATTTGAACAGATGCATGAATAGTAAAGATTTACAGGGGTATGAGCCAAATGCAGGCAAATGGGACTAGTTCAGTTTAGGATATCCGGTCAGCATAGATGAGTTGAACCGAAGGTGTTACTTTGGCAGTTTTCCAGAATCTACCAGTGCTGCTTCTTGTGATAGTAAAGCCCAAGAAATTAAGAATAAAAAATAATCATATTGGATATAGACAACTGGGTTCAAATGAATCTCTTGAACAGTATAAAGAGTGTAGGGACATTCTTAAGACGGAGACCAGGAAGGCAAAAGGATGATATGAGATAAATTTAGCAGGACTTATACAATTAAAAGTAGGTCCTGGTGTCGTGCTGTAGAACAAACAGGTACATAATTCTTTGAAGTTTGCGTCACAGGTAGGCAGGGTAGTTAAGAAGACAGTTAGCGAGCTTGCCTTGATTGCTCAGACCTTTGAGTATAGGAGTTGGGACATCATGTTGACATTGTACAGGACGTTGGTGAGGCTCTTCTGGAGTACTGTGTCCAGTTCTAATTGCCCTGTTATAGGACGGATATTACTAAGCTGGAGAGGATGCAAAAGAAATTTACCAGGATGTTGCTGGGAATGGAGGGTTTGAGTTGTAAGGATACAGGCTGGATAGGCTGGTACCTTTTTCACTGGAGCGCAGGAGGTTGAGGGGTGACCTTATAGACGTTTGTAAATGAGGGGGTATAGATAGGGGAAATGGCAGGTGCCTTTCCCCTAGGGTGGGGTTTTTTCAAAACTAGGGGGTACATTTTTAAGGTGAGAAGAGAAAGATTTAAGAAAGGGGCAATTTTTTTTACATAGGGAGTGATTGGTGTGTTGAATGGACTTCCAGAGGAAATGGTGGGTGTAGATACAGTTACAATATATAAAAGACATTTGGATAAGTACATGAATAAGAAATGTTTGGAGAGTTATGGCCCAAGTGCAGGCAGGTGGAATTAGTTTAATTTGGTAATAAGATCGGCATGGACTGGTTGGAGTGAAGGTCTGATTCTGTGCTGTATGACTCTATGACTCTATAAGGCATGATGCCTTGTGAATGTCAGGGCAATGCGGACCAGCAATGTAGGCAAAATGTGCCATGGAAGAAAAGGAAGATTAACACAGTGATGACTTGTGAAGAATCTAATAAATGCCCAACCTCTCATCCACCTGTTTCCCTAGGCAAAAACATAAAGATTGCAGAGATCCTCCACGATTTCATACAGCAGCACAAAAACATGGAAAATATGCTTGCCTGCAATGACAACATGGCAGGCTCATCTGAAGTCAGCATGCTAAGCCGAAAAGAAACTAAGATTTTCCTGAGCTAACTCCCAATATTTTTCAATGCCTTTCACTGTACAAGCCCATGTTATTGCAAAGTGTAAACAAACTGAAAAATAGACATTTTTCATATAATTACAGTCTTCATTTTTTGATATAGAGGACATTTGCAGGCAAATCAAGTTACATAGGGGCTTCTTCGTCTATCTTGAAGCTCCATTTAACACAAATTTATTTGCAGGCTCCCTGCAATTTGACTTATTGCAATTTATGTAGCTTCAAGATGATTTATGGGAGTTGAACAAATAAAATAATAGCACTGTAATATAAATCACTTCTATTTAACAATGCAGCAGTTGGGAGAGGCAGGGAGGATTGAAAACAATTGAAAAGGGGTAGCATAGTGGCTCAGTGATTAGCACTGCTGCCTCGCAGCGCCAGGGACCTGGCTTCAATTCCAGCCTTAGGTGACCATGGAGAAAGACGTGAAGGCGTGGGAACTTGGCAAAGTTATTGGCAATATCTCAGGGACAGTCCATATCACAGCAGAGGTGGCGTTGGAAGTATTAGAATGTATGACGGTGGAAAAATCTCCTGTCTTGACCAGATATATCCAAGAACCCTACAAGAGGCTAACGAAGAAATTGTGGAGTCCCTGGCTGATATATTTGCATCATCGTTAGCCATGGTTGAGGTCCCAGAAGACTGGAAGGTAGCAAATGTTGCGCCCTTATTCAAGAAGGGCTGCAAAGCAAAACCTGGGAATTATAGACCAGTAATGTTACTTGAGAAGATTGTAAGGGATAAGATATATATACATTTGGAAAGACATGTTTGCTTAGGAGTAGTCAGCATGGCTTCATGCGTGGGAGATCATGCCTCACAATTTAGTTAGAGTTCTTTGATGAAACGGCTAGGAAGGTTGATGAGGGCAAGGTGGTAGACGTAGTCTATATGGATTTCAATATGGATTTCAAAACCTTTTGATAAGGTTCCACATGGTAGGCTGCTCTGGAAGGTTAGATCACATGGAATCCAGAGATTGGATACACAATTGGCTTGATGGTAGGAAGCAGAGAGTAATGGTGGAAGGATGCTTGTCGGATTGGAGGCCTGCGACCAGTAGTGTGCCTCAGGGGTCGGTGCTGGGCCCATTGCTGTTTGTTATCTATACCAATGATTTGGATGAGAATGTACAAAGCATGATTAGTAAGTTTGCAGGTGACACTAAAATAGATGGTATCGTGGACAGTGAAGAAGCTTATCAGGAATTGAGGCAGGATCTTGAACAGCAGGGGAAGTGAGCCAAGAAATGGCAAATGGAGTTTAATGTTGATAAGTGTGAGGTCTTGCACTTTGGAAAGTCAAATCAAAGTAGGAGTTTCATGATGAATGATAGGGCCTTAAGGAGTGTAGTGGAAAAGAGGGACCGTGGAGGTCAGATGTACAGTTCTCTGAAAGTGGAGTCACACGGAGACAGAGCAGTGAAAAAGGTTTTTGGCACACCGACCATCATCAGTCAGGGCATTGAGTATAGGAGTTGGGAAGTCATGTTGCAGTTGTACAGGACATTGGTGAGGCTGCACTTTGGTCACCTTGCTATAGGAAGTATGTTATTAAACTGGAAAAGGTGCAGAAGAAATTTACAAGGATGTTGCCAGGACTCAAGGAGTTGAGTTATAGGGAGAGGTTGGACTTTTTTCTTTAGAGGTGGGGGAGGTGGTGGTGGTGGGGGGAATCTTATAGAAGTGTATAAGATCATGAGAGGCATGAATAGGGTGAATGCACTCAGTCTTTTTCCCAGGGTTGGGGAATCAAGGACTAGAGGGCATCAGTTTAAGGTAAGAGGGGAAAGAATACATGGGAACCTGAGGGGCAACTTTTTTTTACACAGAGGGAGGTACACATATGGAATGAACTGCCAGCGGGAGTAGTTGAGGCGAATAAATTAACAACATTTAAAAGGCATTTGGATGAATACATGGACAGGAAAGGTTTAGAAGGATATGGGCCATGTGCGAAGAAATGGGATTAGTGTGGATGGACATTTTGGTCAGCATGGGCTAGTTTGGGCTGAAGGGCCTGTCTCAGTGCTGTAGGACTCTATGACTCTATGACTGTCTGTGTGAAGTTTGCGCATTCTCCCTTAGTCTGCATGGGTTTCTGCTGGGTGCTCCGGTTTCCTCCCACAGTCCAAAGATGTGCTGGTAAAGTGGATTGCTAAATTGCCCAGTAGTGTGCAGGCTAGGTGGGTTAGCCATGGTAAATGTGGGGTTATGGGGATAGGGGTTTGGGTGGGATGCTTTTCGGAGGGTCAGTGCAGACTCAATGGATGGAGTCGACTCTATCAGCACTGTAGAGATTCTGTGATTGATTGGAAAAAATTCTTCATTGCTAAAAATATGATTTTTTTGACATATCAATGAGCTGTAGTTTCCCAATTACAGCACTAATTTATCACAACATTTATTTCTAATGCGTGAACTGGTGTCAACTTTCCATTGAATAGAACATTTTCATGTTATTCCATTTAAAATGTTCAGATCTAAAGATGAAGGTGTGAGGTGGGTGGTGAAGGGGTGGTGGCCATAGGCTCGCAGTACTCTAAATAATCCACGTGAGCAAACCATAAGAAGACATCTAAGTTTCAGCGACCCAGATGCACTGGTTCCGTTAATGGCTCTGTAGACATCATAAACTCAATATCTAAAAGTTTGAAACTCAAGTTGTCTTCTACCAGACCACAACATATATTATTACATTAATACAATGCACCACTGGCTAATCTTCTAATTTTCAAAACAAAATTTCATCATTCTTCAAAATGATATTTTTGTTCTTGTGTTCTCACCTCCCATCTTGAAAAGACCAACCTCTAGTTGGGATGCAGTTCTTTGTGCACAGGCAGTTGGCTGCCACCTCAGTCAGTGGTAATCCTTCATTCTTCTGCCGAGATGGTGGGTGCTAACAGGCTTTCTAACTGCAAAGGACATTTCTGCGAGCAAATTCTAGCATCAGCTAATTACTGAATCAGTGTATTTTCCAACAGGGGTCATTTGTCAGGGCCAAGATCTCCATCTCTTTTTATCTCCCTACTTCAAAATATTGAGGCCAGTTCCAGTGTGTGAACTGATGGCCTGGTTGAAATCAATACCCACAAATGATCACCCATGTAACAACCCCTGGATTATGACTTAACAGAACACCATGTAGTACATTTTCCATCTCATTCAAAAAGTAAGTAAGCATAGTAAATTGGTTTTGAAGGGTCCTTACTTTAACAAGCCTTTGCGATGAGTGACGTATAGTTCATGAGACAATGTAGTCTTGCTGTAGGGTACAACACGGACAAAATCCTTCAGCAAAGGAAACTCTGGGATGAGATGAGGTACTGTGATGACACAGTAGTCTCTGTCCTGTAGTAATCAGTGACAAAAAATGTAAGTGAAAAAAGCTAATACTTTTTTTAAAAATCCACTTAAAGTTTTTCACTAAATGATTCAGAGAACATAATAAACTCTGGTTGTGATATTGAGCAGTTTAAGCACCATATGAATATAATATACAATTAGTCACACAGTTGTTTCTGTAAACCACATATAAATGAGAAATTAACTAATAAGCTTTAATAATGAGAAAATTATTAGAGAAGCAAGACAAAATGGCAGCTTGGATGACTGTGAGCAGCTCATTGTATTGTTTATCTGAATGGAGTAAATATTACTTGTCTCTCTTGTATTGATGTACACATTTAGTTCACATTAATGGTGAGTAATTGGGCACATTACATTTGTTTATTTAAATTATTCGACAAGAAAATGTGAAAGATTGTTCACTGGGACACATGTGGACACACAAATTCATAGTCATATTAAACAAAGATCATTTGAAAAGTCTTGGAATTTACTCCATACCACCATTTTACTGCAGTTCAGATATGGCAATATAGGGAGAACCATCCTGCTTTTCTGTTAATATACTTAGCATGTCATTGTCAATCTTGCTTTCACCAACCAGTTTCTAGACAGGGCATAAAATAATTAATTAAACATTATAAAATTCTTTGAGAAAACTGGATCGAGATCTCCAAGACTATGTTATCAACCACTGGCAGATTCTAGTACAACTTCTTAGCTGCTCTGTTGCTTAAAAGCAGAATTAGGTATTATTGCCTAAACTTTTAGTGGAGCTAGGATGACTCAGGAGTCCCTTAAAAGCAATGGGCAGGCCCCAATTCTGAGATTCCCAACTCCATTCCTGAGGCTGTCCAGTTTCAGGGAGTACTTCTTAAGGTTATGGGATTGGTTTGGGTTATAAGCCCCCACCTAGAATCTTGATCTGCGATCAAAGTTTTTGTTTGATGGCACTTTGTGAGACCTTCTCACAGGCCACCTTTTGATTTTCAATGGCAATATTTTTGTGTTCAGGAGCTCAACTTTCATTTTCACTAATTCCTGTACTGATAGATGCAATCATGTAGTAGCACTGTCTTCTGTATTTGTGTAGACTTTTTTTTATAGTTTTCTTCTTTAGAGATAGGAAAGATGGCACAAATCATCAGCATTAACTCACTAATAAGCTCTGTTCTGAGGAAGGGTCACTGGACCCGAAATGTTAACTCTGAGTTTTTTCTTCACAGATGCTGCCAGACCTGCTGAGCTTTTCCAGCAACTTTGTTTTTACTCCTTGTTTTGGTTCTTATTCCAATGGCTGTTCTTGACAAATTGTGTCGCTTCATACAGGATTTTCCTCCAAGTTGGTTTCTTTTGAATAAGGTCCTCCCATGCATTGACATCTATGTTGCAGTTCTTAAGAGTAGTTGTTAGGGAGTCTTTGAAATGCTTCCTTTGTCCTCCTCTCATTTAAGTACTTGCCTTGAGTTGTGTGAAGATGATTTGCTTTGGCGGTTGAAACTCAGGCATTCTAAGCACATTGCCAGTCCAGTGGAGTTGGTTTCCGATAATCATGATCTCAATGCTGGTGCTATTGGCTGCTTCAACACCTCCCCTCCCCACCACCTGCAACTGCCCCTCCAAGCCACTCAATATCATGAATTGAAAATATATCAATACCTCCTTCACTATCACTGGGTCAAAATCCTGGAATTGTCTCCAGGGCACCGCGAATGATTGATTTATTGTCACGTGTACTGAAATACAGTGAAAAGCTTTGTTTATGAACAGTACGGGCAGATCACAGCAAGCAAAGAATGTATAGATCAAGAAGACTTAGAGGCATACAGGTTACATTATTTGAGGCTAGAGTCCATTCAACCGTCTGATAACGGCTGGAAAGGAGCTGATCCTGAGCCTACTCATGCGTGTGTTCAGGCTTTGTATCTTCTGCCTGGCAGAAAAGGTTGTAGGAGATCATTACCAGGGTGCGATGGGTCTTTTAATGATGTTGGCTATCTTCAGTGGCAACGAGCCATGTAAATAGAGTCCATGGATGGAAGGTTAGCTTCTGTGATGGTCTGGGCTGTGCACACCCCCTTCTGTAGTTTCTTACGGTCGTGGACAGAGCAGTTGCCACACCAGGTCATTATGCACCTGGGCAGTATGCTTTCAATCGACAGTATGTACAGCATGTGGCCTGGAACGGTTCAAGGAGGCCGCCCACTGCTGCCTTCTCATGGGCAGCTCATGACAGGCAATAAATACTGGCCAGCCAGTGACACCTATGTCCCATAAGGAAAAGAAACCTCCCAAATGACTGAGTCAAAAGGCTCGGTCAGATCAATGAAGGCCATGTAGAGTGGTTGGTATTGTTCCTGGGATCTCTCTTGGAGTTGTTGAGCAATGAGGTTCATGTTTGGTCAGAAGTCACATTGGCTTTTAGGAAGGAGATTGGGAAAAGACAGCTAGCAAGGATTCAGGTGATGATCTTTCTGGTGATGGAGAGTAGGGCATTAGCTCAGTTGGCTGGATAACTGATTTATGATACCAACAGCATGTGTGCAATTCCTGCACTGGCTGAGGTTACCATGAGGACTCTCCTTCTCAATCTCTGCCCTTGCCTGAGGTGCGGTAACCCTCAGGTTAAAGAACTGCCAGTTGTCTCTCCCCAGTGACAGAGCACCCTATGGCACAAATGTCAATGACAGTATATACACATACAATGCTATTGAATCTTTTGACTTGCAATCTTTATACTTTCTTTCTAAATTGAGATCATGTAATACTGTGAAGGAAGGCAGTTGATTTTGAATGAGTCAAACTTACGAAATTATGAATCAGGAGAAGAGCTTCCAACTGAAAATAGTGAATTAAATGAATTCTAAGCATTTTCTCATGTAAAATATAAAACGAGTATATTTCTTAAGCTTCATACAACCACAAACATGCTTGGCAGAATGCTATCAAGCCCTCAATGGCATGGGCCAAGGTAAAAAAATTTGGGAGCATTACATGAGAAGTTTATTGAGGCCTTTCTCAAAGTCTGAAGAGACAAGTCGTATTTTCCAACACAGTCTTGGATGTCGAAATGAGATTGTCACTCGAGTGGTGAGAGGCCTATTAACAAATAATATTGTTCATTATCACACTCATTGCTACCTTATCTCACCTGGTTACTATGTAGATTCTTAGTCTACTACCTGCCACCTAGAAAGCAGATGCTGAGAATCTTCAATATGGAAGTCAGAGCAAGTACCTGTGAAACCACCTTGCTAGCTGCCTTCTCTGGTCTGTATCTTGGATATCCAGTGATAATATCTCAGGGCATGCTCTGTGGGCAACGGTTGCTACTGGAGGAGCAGCACCTCATATTCCACCTTGGGAGACTACAACCCAATGGTCTCAATGTGGACTTTACTAGTTTCAAAATCTCCCCACCCCCGGCCTCATCCTATGACCAACCCTCCCTCTCATCCCCACCTCCTTGACCTGACACAACTTGTCCGTCTTCTCTCCCACTCCTCCCACCTCACTGACCAATCCCCACCACTGCCTACCTGCACTCACCTATCACCATCCCACCTACCTTCCCCAGCCCCACCCCTCCTCTCTCTATTTATTTCAGAGCTGCCTTCCTCCTCCCCCATTTCTGAAGAAGGGTCCCGAACAGAAACATCAACTTTCCTGCTCCTCTGATGCTGCCTGACCTGCTGTGTTCCTTCAGCTCCACACTGTGTTAACTCTGACTCCAGCATCAGCACTTCTTACTATCTCTAAGATAGGTGATGAACTGCTGACGTTTGAATCCTCACCACTTATGTGGAGTGTGTCCTGACTCTTGGTCTTGATTGGCTGACTGATGGTTTCCAACTTTCTGGACTGTTGTTAGAGGCTGTCCTTGACTTTCAGTGTCGGGACTCCCTGATCAAAATCTATCTCTTTTGACCTGACTGAGCCCTGCTGACAACCACGACAAGCTTCCAGGCTTTGTGTCTGTGCTGGACAGTGCCGTAATATAGCAGCAACGTGAACATCATATCTCTAGCTGAGTGGCAAAGCACAAAAAGACAAAGCAATGCAAGGCAGGATTGTTGTTAGCATCCAGATAAGCTCAGAGTGAGTGAGCACTATAACAGCGAGTGAAGAGCCCAGAAAGGAAGCCCCGTCCAGTCCATGAGCCGGGTGTGTATCACTGAACACACTGAGTTAGTGCTGTAGCAGTACAATTATACTTGTCATTGCACCCTGAGGTGCAGCATTGAAGCACTGAAGCATACTGTAAGTGAACCGAAGAAGTGCCATGAGTATTCTTTGAGGCTGGCACGTGTCAGATGCCAATGTATGTGGGCATGGGGTGTGTGTGGCCAGGGTCCATGGTGCATGCCCTGAGATATTACTGCTGTGTTCAACATGGAAATCCTTGGAGCAAATGGCAAGCTGAATTTGCCAGGTAGCCACTCTGATTTCCAAGTCAAGTTTTCTTGATGTCTAGCTTGTTTAATGTATTTAGGTAGAAAGGAATCTGAATATTAATGCCCTGTGTTAGACTATTGACAAGACATTTATTAAGTAATAATCCCCCTTAATTGGCAACTCACTGCTGCCTAGCAAGAAATTTGCCATTCTGCCTGTCAAAAACGAGATGCTGTCAACATCAAGCCACTCTAGACTTCTCATCTGATTCTGCCGCAAATCTCATCATAGCTAATGTCACTCAGACCCGGATAATATTCGGGCATTTTCTCTTATTAGAGAAGTAGCTTCTCACGGAATTCATCTGTCTCATGTACACAGGATTCAACGTTTCTCTGACTGGTCAGCTCGATGATTGATTTTTCAGAGGTGATTTTACAGGAGCATCTGCACCTGCTGTCCCTGTTTATTTTAGCCCTGTTCCTGACCTACCCTGAAAGCACAATGAAGCTTAATCGAGAGCCCGGGAAATCCATTATTTTGTAGGAACACCTGAACCAAGGGCAAACATTGCTTGATTGGCTGCTCTGGCGTTCTAAGCTCTGCTGTCAAGTGCCAATGTTAATTTATCGAGGTTGTGAGGTTTCAAGTGCTTGCATGGTTGACACTTTATTGTCCTGGAGTAAAATGATTTTTTTTAACATACTGGAAAGTAATGAATAATTGACAATTTTGAAGTCTTTTTTTTACAGACCGTAATGTCACAGTGGGATAACTGGTTCTATACAGTGTATAGTGAAGCAATGGGCCTGGAAGTGCCATTGCTTGGCATGGGTAAATGAGGGGCCAGAGTTGAATGGAGGGTCATAGTCTTATACAGTTACATGAGGTGACAGGGACATGGCTTGGAGTTTGTTTAGGGCCTGAAGAAAAGTGTGGAGTGAGGGTTACAGGGCCTGACTTTTTTCATTGTAACTGGAATAACTTCCAAAATACCAAGGCAGGCCTTTGAAACAGCCTGCGTTAGCACCTGGCAACCCTGTTTCCCAGGTTAGCTATCCAACTTAATGCTGCACCCAATGACCAGCAATGAAGATCACATAATTGCATGCACTTTCTTCTGAGGAGGGCAAGCCATGCCAGGTATTTTTCCAACTTCTGTAACCTACCTCAAAGATGAACATCTAAGCCATTAGTGGCAAAAAAAAATTTTGGAGACACACAAATTTTTTTTACAGGGTCACGTACATGGGGAAAAATGCAGTTGTGGTGTAAGAGCACTTCTAGATATATAAAAAAAATTGTAACCTAGATCATTTAACTCTATCACCATACCTTCTCCTTCATGTTCCTACCTAGATTCTCTCAAATACCTTTTATGCGCACATCTGAAAACTAAAACAATCTAAAAACCAAATGTCCTTTTGAAAGCAGACCTGAACTGACCCGAATGGACCTGCAGACACGCTGAGTTCAGGCCCTTTGGAAAGAAAAGCTTCGCTTTTAAATCTATTCAGGTTCATTTGGGCGAAGTAAGGGATTTTTTTTTTCCCAAAGGGCCCGAACAGACCTAAATGGACTTGATACTGTATTCAGCTTTAACTCAATTATTTATAGAAGGTTTGCTGTGATGTCAATTCATCTTTCAGGACGAAGATTAGTCTTCTGTATTTATTTTGCTTTTAAGATGTACACTGAGTGTTTTGTGGGTGCAGGACAAAACTATGCAGCTCTTGTAGCTTGGATGGGTCACTATAAAATCTACATACAAGATGTATTATGAAGCAGCCTAAGTGTATTGGAAAACCTAAAGTATGTTCAATAAATGCTGGTCCATCCAGTGATATCCACCTGCCATGAATGTATAAGAAGAAAACATTATTAATTTAGAAGATTATTTAAACTTCACTTACCGGAAAAAGATTAAAAATGTAGGGCAAAAAATCCTGAGACCTGTACACAAAAGGATATAATGTTTAAAGTTTGCTTTTGAAGTTGGTAACCAATGTGCAACTTTACTCAGTTAATCAGAATATCTAATATGAGTCTTTACTTGAATACTTACATGTACTGTAACTAACTATAGTAAAGTTAGCATTTCTCAAGATAGTTCTGTTACTTCTATCAAAGTACAGAATTAATACAAAACAGGACCTTTGTGGAAAACAATAAACTAATGTTGCAATAATTGTAAATGTAGCAAACCTTGCACCCTTTTCCTTTACACTTTGAAATATTTGTCAAAGTATGAATTGCTAACATTTGTTGAGATTACATGAGTATTTTTGCAACTGCATTACAAGGTAGCGAAATCAAGCAAGAATTTTGAGATGATGTCAAAGCTTGCAATTGTTTTGGCTTCTGAATTTGAAAATGAATTACGATCTGTAATCCACTTTTAAAAATTAACAGAACATTCATTGAGTTACATCAAATGCACAGTATAAACATGGCTCATTCAGACCAATTGATCTATGCCAGCACTTATTCTGTACATGAGTGTCCTCCCACTCTCCTCCTCCTCCTCCTCAGAGGGTGCTGTGTATTTGGAATTCTCTTCCACCAGAGTGGTGGGGAAGGCAGAGTCGTTAAATATTTTTAAAGCACAGGTAGATAGATTTTTGACTACAAAGGAAGTCAAAGGTTCTTTTGTGGGGAGTGGATGTTGGTGGTGGGGGCATGGGAGACAGGAATTGAGAACACGATCAGATTAACCATAATCTGATTGAATGGCCAAGCAGGCTTGAGAGGCCAAATGACTATTCATCCTCATAATATGTATACTGATATATAAATTTGTAACCTACTGGTGGTGGTTAATAGATGAAAAAAATACTATGGTGATGTGGTGATGACGAAAAATTCAGTTGTGGTGTAAGAGCGCTTCTAGATATATAGAAGAAATTGTAACCTATTTCATTTAACTCTGTCACCATACCTTCTCCTTCATGTTCCTATCTAGATTCTATTAAATACCCTTTTTAAGTAGAATTTTTAAAAAAGATTACTTCATGGGATGTGCACATTGTTAGCAAGGCTTGCCATTCCTACTTGCAGCTGAGAAGATGATTGTGAGCTACTTTTTTGAACCAATGCAATCCACCTGTTATAGGCAAATCCACAGTGCTGTTAGGGAGGGAGATCCAGGATTTTAACATAATGATAGTGAAGGAACAGTGATAGAGCTTCAAGTCAAAGTGGTATGTGGCTTTTGAGGGGAACTTGTAGGTGTAGCATCCCCATGCATTTACTGTCCTTGTCCTTCTAAATGGTAGTTGTCTTGCGTTTTGAAGATGCTGATCCTTCACGGGTTTTGCATTGATGCTTGTAGATGGTTACATAGCTGCCACTGTGTCTTGGAGAAAGTGAATGCTTAAGGCAGTGGATGCATACCAATCAGGTGGGCTACTATGTCCTGAATGGCAGTGTTTAGCTACTTAAATGTTGTTGGAGCTACAATCATTCAGGCAAATGGAGAATCTTCCATCACACACCTGACATGCTTTGTATGTTGTGGATAGGCTTTGATGAGTCAGGAGGTGAGTTACTTATCACAGAATTCCCAGTTTCTGATGTATTCTTATAACCACACTATTTATATAGCTAAGATAACAAGGTGTAGAGCTGGATGAACACAGCAGGCCAAGCAGCATCAGAGGAGCAGGAAGGCTGACGTTTCGGACCTAGACCCTTCTTTAGAAAAA